TGCATGAGTGAAGTGCATAGAGTGAAGTGCACAGAGTCAAGTGCATAGAGTGAAGTGCATAGAGTGAAGTGCATAGAGTGAAGTGCATAGAGTGAAGTGCATAGAGTGAAGTGCATAGAGTGAATTGCATAGAGTGAATTGCAATGAGTGAATTGCCTAGACCTTCGAACCCAGTCCTAGATTTCTAAATTAAAATTACTCTTTCTAAGGCGGCGGGCTGGGTTGACATCGCCAATCGGGATTGCAACCCTCTGCGGGTTTCGGCGTGGTCGTGGTGCTAAAACCGTCGTTTTTTTACGCTTCTTTGTGTCTGCGGACAACCCTCTGCGGGTTTCGGCGTGGTCGCAGTGCCAAAACCGTCGTTTTTTGACGTTTCTTTCTGACCGCGGACAACCCTCTGCGGGTAATCGCCGGGTCGCGGTGCTAAAACCGTCGTTTTTGGAACTTTTTTTCGTGGGCGCAGACAACCCTCTGCGGGTTTCGGCGTTGGCGCGGTGCCAAAACCATCGTGTTTTTGCCTTTTTTGACATACAAACGTAACCCTCTGCGGGTTTCGGCGTTGGCGCGGTGCCAAAACCATCGTGTTTTTGCCTTTTTTGACATACAAACGTAACCCCTCTGCGGGTTTCGGCGTTGGCGCGGTGCCAAAACCATCGTGTTTTTGCGTTTTTTGACATACGAACGTAACCCCTCTGCGGGTTTCGGCGTTGGCGCGGTGCCAAAACCATCGTGTTTTTGCGTTTTTTTGACATACGAACGTAACCCCTCTGCGGGTTTCGGCGTGGTCACGGTGCCAAAGTCGACTTTTGTAGTACGGACACGCGGAGCTTCCGTGGCTGGAAAGTCGAGTTTTGTAGTACAGACGTAGTACGCCGGGGACACCCGGAGCTTCCGTGGCTGGAAAGTAGACTTTTGTAGTACAAACGTAGTACGCCGCGGACACCCGGAGCTTCCGTGGCAGGAAAGTCGACTTTTGTAGTACAAATGTAGTACGCCGCGGACACCCGGAGCTTCCGTGGCTGGATAGTCGACTTTTGTAGTACAAATGTAGTACGTCGGGGACGCCCGGAGCTTCCGCGCGGAGCTTCCGTGGCTGGAAAGTCGACTTTTTGTAGTACAGATGTAGTACGCTGCGGACGCCCCGGGCGTCTGAAAACACCGCAAAATAGCATGGTAACGGACATCTGGGCGCTTGAAAACACCGCAAATAGCATGGAAGCCGAATTCCGCGCGCGCGAAAACACCGCAAATAGCACGGTAACGGACATCTGGGCGCTTGAAAACACCGCAAATAGCATGGCAGCGGAATTCCGGACATGCGAAAACCTCGCAAATGGCATGGAAGCGGAATTCCGGACATGCTTGAAAACCTCGCAAATAGCATGGAAGCGGAATTCCGGACATGCGAAAACCTCGCAAATAGCATGGAAGCGGAATTCCGGACATGCTTGAAAACACCGCAAAGAGCATGGTAACGGACATCTGGGCGCTTGAAAACACCGCAAATAGCATGGTAACGGACATCTGGGCGCATGAAAACACCGCAAATAGCATGGAAGCGGAATTCCGGACATGCGAAAACCCCGCAAATAGCATGGAAGCGGAATTCCGGACATGCTTGAAAACCTCGCAAATAGCATGGAAGCGGAATTCCGGACATGCGAAAACCTCGCAAATAGCATGGAAGCAGAATTCCGGACATGCTAGAAAACACCGCAAAGAGCATGGTAACGGACATCTGGGCGCTTGAAAACACCGCAAGTAGCATGGTAACGGACATTTGGGCGCATGAAAACACCGCAAATAGCATGGAAGTGGAATTCCGGACATGCGAAAACCTCGCAAATAGCATGGAAGCGGAATTCCGGACATGCTTGAAAACACCACAAATAGCATGGTAACGGACATCTGGGCGCTGAAAAACACCGCAAATAGCATGGTGACGGACATCTGGGTGGTGGAAAACACCGCAAATAGCATGGTGGGCGCCTGAAAAACACCGCAAATAGCATGGTAACGGACATCTGGGCGCTTGAAAAACACCGCAAAGAGCACGGTAACGGACATCTGCACGCTTGAAAACACCGCAAATAGCACGGTAACGGACTTCCGCGCGCGTGAAGACACGGGGATGTTTTTGTCTTTTGCTGGTTTTTCCAAAACCATCGCAAATACCATGGTCCTGGTTCCAAAACCATCGCAAATACCATGGTCCCCGAATTCGCTGGTTCCAAAACCATCGCGACAACCATGGTCCCCGACCTCGCTGGTTCCCCAAAACCATCGCGAATACCATGGTCCCCGAATTCGCTGGTTCCAAAACCATCGCAAATACCATGGTCCCACGGCCTCAGAGGACAAACATGCATGAGCCGGGAAGAGTGTGGGATATTGGCGAAGCAGATCTTGGGGAGCCAGAAGAGCTCGCTCATCGCATCACAACAGGTTTGAGGTTAACCTAGACCGCCTGGCCCAGCAAGGTAAAGCCCACGAGCCGCACGCCGAGCCAGAAGGGGGGGGGGGGCTTGAGCAGACAGGCAGCGGGCTGGGGCGCGCGCACACACATACATACACCTGCACGCGTAGAACCAGCCGGCCAGTAACTGTTGCAATTCCTTGCTGATATATGATACGCACCTCCCTTCCTCCATTGGTGAGATTGCAGCCGTAATATATTGCGGGCATGCATCTACTTGGTAAAGCAGTGTATGGGGCGCACTCTGGCATAGCCATGGCAAACCTTCAGTGGGGCGAAGCTGAAAGCAGACCTGCAATGGTGACTGACTTCGTCAATTGCCTCCTTCGTCGGGAAGCGAGATGGACTATCCACCCAGCAGCTGGAAGGATTGGCTGGAAGCCGATGATGCTCATGGCATCTCATGGCTGACGGCTCTCGCGTTAGATGTTTTTGTCTTTTCTTTCTTTGCATCGCGTTGACAGGACGTGCACAGCCGAGCCGGGTGCATGCAAGTGAAGTTCAGACAGTTCAAGTCCGTTTACTTCAGATCTATTGAATGCCAATGAAGTGTATAGAGTTGACCACAAGTGCATGGCATTCAACTCAACACACTTGAATGCCATGCAGTTCAAGTGCAGTATACAAGTGAGTATGCAACCATAATATGGTTGTATGCACTTAAGTGTATGCACTTATATTATAAGTGCATACACTTAAGTGCATACACTTGTCCAAGTGCGTGCAGTTCGAGCGCACAGGGTCAAGTGCATAGACTCAACGCACCGCAAATCGATGCTTTCGGGCCAATCGTCTTCTAGTTTTTTTTACAGCGGCCAACCATATGTTTAACGTCCATTGGACGGGCCGTAGCCATTGGCTTGCAAACCATGGTTTTACGTCATCCAGGACGAGTGAATTAAAGAAAAACACTTTTCTTGAAGACTCTCCGGTCTTCTTCACCACGAACGTGGTCTTCGAATCCTTAAGGGCTATACACTCTCTACCATCAGGGATTTCCTTACCCTTAATGGCAAAACCCAACCCTTTCTGTTCGACGCATTGGTCTTTCCTCCAACCATTCTGCAAATTGTCACCAAATCTGGGAAAAAGAATTCATCCTTTGCGCGTCCCATCTTTGAAAACCAGTCACTTGTTCGCCTCCCCAGCTTCGCAGATCTTATGTAGTTGCACCAAAATGCTCTTAAGATCCTGAACCTGTACCAACAGTCAAACATCGCTGAATGGAGGATACCAATCCTTCTTGCCGCACTTCTTCTATCGCTTTACACAATGTGGTCACCTGTGGCGTGTTGGTGACGTGAGTCAGCGGCACGCCTTCTTCATCTGGTGCAACATCCCTTTTCTTGGGACTTGATGACTTCTCCTTCTTTTGTACCCGATTTGCAGAACCACCAGGTTTTGACCGTCCGATAAGATTGATTGGTTCTCTTCTTTGGCCTTGGGGCCAACACCGTGTATGGATCATGCGTTGCAGCAAGTTTCCTCTTCTTCTTGTTTTCCAGCTTCTTATCAACTTCAACTAGTACCACCTCCCAGATCCTTAAAAGCTTGCTCTCCTTCCCAGCGGTCGATGTTTCCAGACATGTATAACACCGCTTTGGCAATAGGTTGCTTTCTCTTTCTCTTTATTGGAAACCATTTCATTCTCTTAAACCTTCTCTTTCAGAAGAAAAACTTCTTCCACTCTTGCTCTTGGACAATCTCTTGGCGGGGTATCAGGCAACCTTGGCCTCTTAGCGCTCACTCTGCTCAAATACGCATTGATTACCTTGCTTTGCATTTTTACCAGTCGCAGCGTGCGATTTTTTGCAGTTTTCCAGCATAACACCCACGTTCATCCACATAGTACCAACAGTTGAAGCTAACAACATCCTCATTGGCAACTTGTTCCGCTTTTTTGAACCAATAACAGATACCTTATCCTTTTAGAACTGCCTTTTATCCAGGTGCCAGTTGTAAATGCTTTTAGTGGAACTTTCTGGAAAACCCTTCTTGATTCCACAATTCTACAATTAATTTCCCGAACTTCTAAGCCAAGTACAACCGAACCATTCTTTGGCATCTTCAACAAAAAGCTTTTCCACTTTCCAAGCTCCATATGCAATTTGCTGGAGTTGTTATTCCAACAACTTCCAAATTTTCCAGCACAACAAAAGAGCTTGAAGAACTGTAAGGCAGCTACATTTTCCACCTTCACCTTCCACTGTCTCTCACTGCAAACCCATCCAACACCCCTTCCTCTAAAGACATTTCCATCTTTTTCCAGTTGAATGGACGAATTCCAAAGAATCCCGAGTTTCTCTTTTGTTTATTGTGTTCATTGTTTCGACGAATTAGTCTAAATTCCACTTCTCTCGTTTCTTTTGTGCTCATTTCAAGAACACCATCGTTTTTGTTTTGTTTCTTTCGGCGGGCGCGGCGTTTAAAACGGCAGCCGCTGCCGTTTTAACCGCTGCGTCTTTTTAATGGTCGCGGCGTTTAAAACGGCTGCCAACGTTTCGCAAATGTGCTGCCATCCAAGATGCATCATCTAATATTGGCTGTGGCATTTAAAGCGGCAATCTTGAAGTCTTTGAATCTGTGCTTTTAAGCATTTTGCTCAAAGTTTTGGCCTTTAGCCTCTTCTGGCTCGGACAGCGCACACTGCCATGGCAAGCCGGTGGTCTGGCGGACGAGTGACCATGAGCACTGCAGGTCGTGACAGGCGAGTCCGATCTCGAATCGGAAAGTGGAGAACACCTTGGACAGAGGGCAGAAGACAGCGACGAAGACCAGCGTGGTGCGCCTGCTTCAAGCTCAGCTGCTCCCGTTGTTGTCGAAGACGTCGACGAAGAGCCTCAAGGTGAGCCTGCTTCTGGGTTCTGCAGGTCCATCAATGGAGGTGGAGCAGGAGGAAGTGGAGTACACTAGACGTCAACAAGTGAGTCCAACAAGAAAGCGAGGCCGACTACCTGTTCCTGGACGCACGAAACTCAAGGGCAGAACTTCTTTGGCTGAGATTCTTGCAGCTTCGCCAGTGGACATTGCACAGATTCTCATCCAGAAGGGCTTTTGCAGAGCTTCTCCTACAGCTGGAACGTGTGGATGTGAGAGTCCAAAGTGGAAGTTGGAGCCTCGCGTGCCTGCAACTGGCGCTGCAAAGCTTGCAGAAAGACCGTGGCTCTAACAGCTGTTGACTCAGACTTGTTTGGTGGCCAGAGACTTTCTCTTCAAGCCATTGCAGGAGCACTTTGGCTTTACACGTCAAAGCTTCACCTCTCACCAGACGACTGCAGCCTGCTTCTTGGAGTGGACCACAGAGCAGTTCGCAGCCTTTTCGAGGCCTTCAACCAGTACTTTGTGCCCATCATTGACCAGTTGAATGACGCCATTGTGGTTGGAGGCTGCAGCGCGGATGTGAAGTTGGACGAGATTTCCTTTCGATCTACTGGTCGATCGCACGGAATTGTCTGGCTCAGGTACTTAGCAGTTGCACGACGTGGCTTAAATTTGGTCGGTTGCAGCGTTTGGGCTACCGCATCACTCGCAAAGGCCAAGGTGGAGGCGGCCCCATTTCTGTGGATGAAATGTGGTCGGCTCTGCTTTTGGAGTCTGACCAGCCAGTTCTGGCCAGGGGAAGCGTTTGCCACACCGATGGTGCCAAGGCGTATCGGTGGTTGTCGAGTCCTTTGAACGATGGGACTCTGGTGGACGCTGCTGGCTTGAAGCTTTCGCACACGTGTGTCAAGCACAAACCGCCCCACCCAGAGTTTTCCAAGAAAATGCGTGTCCAGGTGTGGGTGGGAGACCACTACGAAGAGCAGGCAAGAGTTGGAGGGACCCAGAAAATCGA